GGTACAGAAAGTGAAGTTAGTTATTCTCCTCAGTTTGTGGTCAGTCTTATTTTGCATCTTACAAGGTTGCTCTCCCTGCTCCCATGCCAGTCCCCACCTCCCCAGCTTCACACCACAGGTAATGTAACATGACTAGTGAGGTAGTAACACAAGATTGTAATCAGGGCTTACAATTATCCTCAAAATACTCTGAAAATAGCTTTTTGCTAATGACCTCACTATATGTCTGTTATCTTTCTCATTCAGGTCACTGTGCTTGGATTGAAAGACTGCTCTTGGGTTCTCAAGAATTGTGGCATCATGTTGTGGACACAGACAGGCTGATGAGGGCTGTGGTTGAAGGCTGGTTGGAGGTTGGTTGAAGGCTTCGTGGTGCACTGGGAACCACAGAACGGTACCCAATGCTACTTGTAAGGGAACCAAGGGCTGGAAGAAGTGATTCTTAAGCTGATCCTTAAGATCAAGTGAGAATAAGCTGGGCAAAGGGAGGAGGAGCATGTGCAAAAGCCCAGAGCCAAGAGAGATCCTGACTTGTGGGAAGAACCAAGAGGAGGAATAGTGTGGCTGGAGTTTAGTTTTTGGTTGGAGGAGTGGTGGTGATGGAGGAAGTAAGTAGGAGCTAAATCGTAATGGGCCTTAAAGCATGCAAAAGCCTGTACTTTATCTTGTGAGAAATGCACAGTCATTGATTTAAACCAGGGCATGTCATAATAAGCTTATTTTTGTTTTAAATGATAATTTGAGGCCCTGGTTGGATACTCAGTTGGTTAGAGCGTCGTCCCAATATGCCAAGGTTGTGGGCTTGATCCCCTATTATAAATGCATAAATAAGTGGAAAAACAAATTGATGTGTCTATATCCTTCTCTTTCTCAAATCAATCAATACATTTTTTTTCCCAAAATGATAATCTGAACTGAAATGTAGAAAATAAATTGGATTGGAGTGTGGGGAGTTATGTTAGGAATCTACTTCATCCTGGCATCCTGGCATGTGATGAAAAGGGCATTGGCAAAGGAGAGAAGCACATTCATCTGGTCATTCCTTCAATCATTCATTAATTTGACATTCACTCGCCGTTTCTATGAACACTTATTTACTGTGTGCTAGCACCGTGTCACATCGTGTGCAGGTAATGCAAAGACAAACAAGGTAAAGTGGTGTCTGCTTCCCAGCATTTCTCACTTGACAGTCCAGGCAAGTACAAAGACAGCCACAATTACTGTGCAAGTGCTAAGATGATACAGAGCATTCTTGGAGCTTATATGTCAGGAACATGTTCCAAGAGATTTGGAGCTTAAGGAAGACTTTCTGAAAATCTCCATAAAAATGATGTCTAACTTAAGACTTAAAGAAGGAGCAGGAGATGGCCAGTTGACAGAAGGGGTAGAGAGATTCCAGATACATGGAATAGTAGATGTAACTACCCAGAGGTTAGAGATATCAGAGCTTTTTGAATAAATGAAAAGCGGTTAGGTATGACCATAGGAATTAACGGTACCATTGCAATGAACCTAGTTATTAATAACAGAAAATAAGTAAAGTGAGAAGCCAGTCGTTATAGGCATGTCATTTGGACAGCTTCACCAGGAAGCTACAACTTTATGCTCCCTAGCAATCCAACAAAGTGAAAATTGACGCATGTCCAGTAAAGTTGCGGGGAATGGTGAAGGTCCTTGCTGGGGGCAAATAGTTGGCCAGAATGGGTGTGACCACTATGATGATGTGGGATACTTAATTTCCTGAATAAAGAACTTCTCTCTGGCCGAAACCTGTTTGGCTCATCGGTAGAGTGTCGGTCTGCGACTGAAGGGTCCCGGGTTCGATTCCAGTCAAGGGCATGTACATTGGTTGCGGCCGCATCCCCGGTGGGGGGTGTGCAGGAGGCAGCTGGTTGATGTTTCTCTCTCATCGACATCTCTAGCTCTCTATCTCTTTCTCTTCCTCTCTGTAAAAAATCAATAAAATATATATATTTTTTTTTAAAGAAAAGAACTTTTCTCTGTTGATGCCTCTCACCTTGGCTTCTCCAATGTGGCCCATGGCTATGTGCACCTCCACACATAATGGACTAAGCAGTGTTTCCCAAAGTGTGGTACGTGTACCCCCAGGGGTACGGTAAGAGTTTGGTGGGGGTACGTGTTGCACCGGAGTTTGGTGGGGAAATGCTCTGCACTGTGCTTAGCTGCGCCTAATACATCCATTTTTTTTAATTTTTTTTTTTTGACGAGGGATACTCAGCGTTACGAAAATTATAGAAGGCATACACATATGTCAAAAGTTTGGGAAACACTGGGCTAATGGATGCAACTAGCCTGGTGCTGAACTGGACCCAGTTGCAACATGGAACAGGAACTCTGGACCCTGATTCTGCTTCTAGCTTTACTGAAATTCCAGCTACACTCCTTCTATGACTAGACTAAGGGAAATATGACTTTAGAAACACAGGGATGTAATTCCATGTAAGTACAGCTTTTTACCATATCTCACCCTCCCATGGGGGCCTCAAGAAATGCTTATTCTAGCATTACCCAAGAACCCCACTTCTACTGATAACATTATGAAGGGACAAGGGCCTCTGAAAGAGGGTGGTTCCCATTATTATTCGAGAATGGGAGGTTACAGAGAGAACTTCCCATTTAAATGGATATCTTGGAAAGTTCACAGTCTGGAGAACAACTGGCTAAATAGTAAAAAGGTAGAATCAACAGGACCTGGTGAACCATTAGAGCTAGGGTAGTAAACGAGCATGGAATCTGCCAAATTTCTGACTTAGGTTCCATAAAACAATAAGAGAGCAGGAGGTTTGGGAAGGAAGGTATAAGTTCCATTTGGACATGTTAATTTTGAGAGACATTTAAGTGCAATTATTCAGTAGGCAGTTGATAATCCCCTCACAGAGGACATGCAGGATCTACAGATGCTGCAAAAATTGTGGGAATGGGTGAGACCAGAGAGGTGATTCTCAGGGTAAAGACAGACAAGAGCTGAGGAGTAAACCACAGGGAATTCTCACATTTACAGCTCAGGCAGTGGAAGACTCTGAAGAAGAAGCAGGCACGGCGTGAGTAGAACCAGATGCAGGAACCATGCACTCCAAAGACAGTCTCAAGGAGGGTGAGGTCAAATGTGTCAAATGTTTTGTTTTGGGGAGGTTAGGTAAAACAATGATTAACAATGATCATAGAGCTTGGCAGGATGGTTTCAGAGGAGAGATGGAGGTGGAGCAAATCGCAGTGGTTGGGATGGTGGGAGGTGAGTCAATGAAGGAGGAGGCCAGTGTGTCCTAGAGCAAAGTCTACGTCAACCAGGGGAGGTTCAGCGGAAGCAGCAGTCACAAAGGCAGATTAAGTCCATGGCTGCAGGAGGACAGGCTAGTAATCAAGAAGGCAAAAACCAGTGTGGGAACAGAGATGTTTCACTGATTAAAGACTAGTGATTCTGGCTGATAAAGGATGCAGAGCCACAGACCACATTTATTACTTTTGCTATTTTTAACTTCAAGTTTTGAGTGTATTTCCCCAGACAGGGAGCAAGAGTTCAATAAATGTTATTTAAGCACTCATTGGACATTTTTTGAGCACTTATTATGGACCATATGCTGGCGTTACAAATATGTTTCTGCACTATAGTATCCCATGTCTTTGAAAATACCTGCATTTTAAAAAGGCAGAGTAAAACTCTATTTCCAAAGCATCAAAAACAAAAAAGAATGTAGGTTTTAATAAAGTTTTACTTGATTTTGTTATATTGGTGCATAGTTGCATGGAGTTTTGCCTTTATAGTTCACATTTCCAATGCTCAAGGGGGTCAGACAACACTGAAAGCAAATAGTCAAAACTTGAACCTAAAGTCCTGTGTAAGTCAGGTCCAGCTGAGGAACTTAGGGTCAGGGTGATTGGAGGAACAGACCACAAGGGAGGGACTAGAGGATCCAGGCTGGTGGCACTGTGGGACAAGCTCATGACCAAATGTAAGAGGTCTTATCCCACATGGATATGCATCTATACTAATAATAGAGGAATATGCAAATTGGTCAGGGCTCTGTCACACAACAACCAATCAGGAAGGGGGTGGGGCTACAGCAGAGAGCTCTCAGCACACCTGCACCAGGGGTCTAAAGGGTGTGGAGAGGAAGGGAGAGCAGATAGGCAGTTAGGAGGATCAGGCCAGCAGGGGTGAGCAGTTAGGGCCATCAGGCTGGCAGGAGAGCAGTTAGGGGCATCAGGCAGGCAGGAGGGTGAGTGGTTAAGAGCCAGTGGTTCTGGATTGTGAGGAGGGATCCTGGATTGGAGAGGGTGCAGGCCGGGCTGAGGGACCCCCTACCCCAGTGCATGAATTTTGTGCACTGGGCCTCCAGTAGATTAAGAATAGAAAATTGCTTTTGATGTATTTGCTATGTAACTTTTTTTTGGGGGGTGATTATACATAAAAACACTAAAGGAAAATACAGAAAAATGTTAACAGTCATTATCTCTTGGTGGAGGGATTATGGATATCTGATTTTCTTCTTCATAAATTTTATATTTTAAATGAATAGTATTAATTTTATGATCTGAAAAACAGTGAATGCCATTTTTAAAACAAAAGGAAAATTTGAAAAGGAGTCAAGATGATAACATTGCTTCTTTCAAAAATGGTGGAAAATAGAGTATTGGTAGGAGAAATACTCAGAAATAACACTGGAAACTCAGGGAACACATGCCATGCTTAACTGTGTCTTGAACTTGTGCTGGTCCTAGGAATTTTCTTTAATCTATTTATCACAAAATTGAGGACCAGCAGCTCTGACCATGTGATTGTGTGCCAACCCCTGCTCATGTTTCCTCTAGAAGAGGAAAATGATATGCTTAGGCTCTTACAGTTATTCTGTTATGTGATAATGTAATTTTATTTTGAAATTCTTAGGTACAAAGGGGGGTATGAGGGTAAATAAATATTAAGTTATAATTCTTAATTTAATATTTTTATTCATAAAAAAAGAGTTGTTTCTGATGAGAGTGTAACTCTAAAATCAAGGTCACTACTAACTGAAATAGTTTTTAAGTTTAATTCATTGATAGGAGGGAAGTTATTCTTTTAAAAAGACATGCATGACTATTCAATGACAAATTTTCATGAGAATTTGTCATTAGGTAGGGAGAAATGGAAATAGAATTTTTAGTATATACCCTTGTTTTAAATACAATTTCTTTTTATTAGCCTCTAGGGAAGGGGACCAACTTTTCTTTGTACCAAATCTCTTTGGGGAAAAAAAGTGAAGTGTCGGTCCTACAAGTTGGTGCTTGTATTGACAGGTGAATGAATATGCTGCCACTGGTGGAGAAAACAAGCTTGCTGCTTTCCACACCTATTCCTGAATTGCAAGAAAGAAAACCTACCCAGAAGCTGGAGGGAATCCAGAAGACGTGGACAAACCCGTAGCTTCTCCCTTGAGAGAGAGGTGTGTCCATTAATTTCTCAAGTCTACTGAAGCCTTGAGAAATTAATTGAGGGACTGTTTGCCTTGGAGGCCTTTCACCTAAGCAGGCTCAGTCCCGATCTGCAGCGTTCAGACTGTCAAATAGGCACACTTGGGCACTCCGTATGTGAAATTCCCAAAACACAACTGCTGACCTAGGATTCCCTAGAACCTCTCTGCCCTTTAGGGCTAAAGCAACCAATAGCAGACGGCGCTGGGTAGGCCTTCCTTTCCTTACCAGGTCCTCGGAATACATTAACAGTGGTCACAGCTGAATTTGAGAAATTATTGGCATAACTCAATTAAATTCTATAGATGGGAAATAAATTATCCTTCTATGAAACAAAAACCTGTGTTCAAACGTATTTAGAATTTTTTAGTACCCCTGGGGTCAACCTAAAAACTCCACTACCCTTTCTTCCAATGCAGAAGCCCCTCAGGGTGTTGTAATGGGGTTTTCTGCCAGCGGATCCAGTTGGACAAATCTGGCAACAGAGAGAAAAATATTGATAAGAAATGTTGGTAAAATCTTCTAGATATTTGGTCCACCTGTAGCTTCATTTGCCAAAGTGAAATAAAGCAAAGCTCTATTTAGTATAGATTTTTTGGGAATACATTTTTGGCATTAGGATAGATGACTATTTAGCTCCTATATTTAGATCTATGAGTAAGTTTTTGTGTGTAGTGTGTGGTAAAGGCTATAAGTTTTCCCTTTGGCATCTTTATTGAAAGTCAATTGATTATAAATTAGAGCTTATTTTGGGACATTCTATGCTCATGTCAAAATAAGGTTGTCTCAACTACTATAGCTTTATAGTACGTTTTGAAATCAGATAAGTTTTCCAGCTTTGCTCATTTTCAAAAGTTTTGGCTTTTCTAGGTTTTTTGTATTTCTAAACATGATTTTCATAGGGTTTGTTTGGAAGCTCTAGATCAAATTGGGAGAATTGCCTTCTTAACAATACTGAGCCTTCTAATTGATGTACATGGTATGTCTCTCCACTTAGCTTTTCAGGTAAATATCTTATCAATGTTTATGGGTATTAGTTCATAACTCTTATACTTCGTTCGTTAAATTTGTTCTCAAGTATTTTGTGTTTTTTTCTTATGCTATTGTAAATGGAATTGCCTTTTAATTTCATCTTTTTATTTTTCTTGTTAATACATTGAAATACAGTTAATTTTGTATATTGGTTTGTATCCTGTGGCATTGTTGATGTGGTTTATTCGTTCTAGTAAGCTTTTGGAGAATTTTCAACATGTTGTCTGTGAATAAAGGCAGTTTTACTTCTTCCTTTCCAATCTGTATACCTTTTATTTACTTTTCCTGCAATATTTCACTGGCTAGAGACTCTAGGACAGTGGTGAGAACACTTCTTATTCTTACAGGAAAAGTATTCATTCTCTCACTATTGTATTTACTTATTTTTATTTTTTAAATTGTAGTAAATTATAAAATTTTATAACACAAAATTTATCCACTTGAGAGCGGCGGAGCGGATCGGAGCCGAGCGGCGAGGCGCCAGTGCGGACGGAGCAGGTGGCCGGCGGGCGTGAGCGGCGAGGGCGGCCGGGAGGCTCGAAGGGCGGACGGCAGCGGCCAGCTCTCGGCCCGGGGCTGCGGGAGCCGGAGCCGGACCGGCGGCAGCGGCGGCGGCGGCTGCCCTAGGAGCCGAGGGTGTGACACCGCCCCTGCCCGCGCCCCGGGGGCCTCGCGCGAAGCCGCCTGCGTGAAGTGTCACGATGTCTGAGCGGAAGGCCGTGATCAAGAATGCAGACATGTCTGAGGACAGGCAACAGGATGCCGTCACTGCGCCACTCAGGCTATGGAGAAGTACGACATAGAGAAGGACATAGCTGCCTATATCAAGAAGGAATTTGCCAAGAAATACAACCCTACCTGGCATTGTATTGTGGGCCGAAATTTTGGCAGCTACGTCACACACGAGACAAAGCACTTCATCTATTTTTACTTGGGTCCGGCTAGGCGGCTGCAGAGAAGGTGTCAGTGGCGGCGGCGATGGCAAGCAGACGGCGTTGCTGGGACTATTTTGCACTGGGACCAGCATCAGGATGTCCTCTCCAATGGCTGTGCTACTGCATGGACTGTATACTCGATTTCATGTGTATGTCGCAGTAAACAAAACAAAACTTCTTTCTGTTTAGTTGCCTGGGGTGGGGGGGGGGGGATTTATCCACTTTAACTTTTTAAAACATTCTAACCTAAATAAATGCTTATTTATTTTTAGAGAGAGAGGGTAAAGGTGAGAGACGGGGAGATAGAGACAGAGAGAGAGAGAAACATCAATGTGAGAGAGAATCTCAATTGGTTGTCTTCCATACATGCCACAGCCAGGGATCGACCACACAACCTTTTGGCGTATAGGATGACACTCCAACCCACTGAGCCACACTGGTCAGGATCACTTTAATCATTTTTAACTGTACAGTTCACTGGAATTAACTACATTTACATTGTTGGGTATCCATCACCACCATCCATTTCAAGAACTCTTTTCATCTTCCCAAACTAAAATTATTTACCATAAACAACAACTCCCCATTCCTCTTCCCCCCACCCCTGGCAACCACCATTCTACTTTCTGCCTCTACGAATTAAACTATTCTAGGTTCCTCATATTAAGTGAAATCATATAGTATTTATTCTTCCGTGACTGGCTTATTTCACTTAGTATAATGTCTTTAAGATTCATCTATGTTGTAGCATGTGTTGGAATTTTCTACCTTTTAAAGATTGAATAATATTCCATTGTATGATCAATTTTTCACTGATAAGTATAATGTTCTTTGAGTAAACTTCATTTTCTTTTTAGTTTATTGAGAGATTGTAGCATGAATGTAAATTGGATTTTGAGAAATAATTTTTTGCAGCTATTGAAACAGCCATGTGGTTTTGTCCTTTTTTTCTATTAATAGTGAATTATATTAGTTGAATTTTGGGTGTTGAGACACCCAAAACAACCCGGGATAAATTCCACTTGGTCATGGTGAAAATCCTATGCCCTTTTCTAAGAGATATATGCTTCTAGTTCTTTCATTTAGGCCTATCATCCATTTTGAGTTACTTCTTGTATACAGTGGGAGGAAGGGGTCCCAAATCATTCCGTTGATGTGGATATCCAGTTGTCCTCGCATCCTTTGTTGAAAAGACTGTTCTTTTCCCATCAAATGATCTCAGCACCCTTGTTGAAAAACAATTGACTGTAAGTGTAAGGGTTTACTTCCGGACTCTCAATTTTTTTTTTTTTTTTTTAATTTAAGGTAGATGAAGGCTACTTTATTGAATGATTGATCCATCTAATTACCAAGGTAACTATGGTTTTAGAAAGAAAGGAAGGGAGAAGGACAGAGAGATGGAAACATCAGTAGGCTGCCTCCTGCCTACTCGCACTGGGGACTGAGCCCGTAACCTGGGCATGTGCCCTGACCGGGAACTGAACCGTGATCTCCTGGTTCATAGGTTGACAGTCAACCACTGAGCCACACTGGCTGGGTGCCAGTCCCTCGGTTTCTTATTCCTTGGACAGAGTATTATAATGATTTCTTGCTTCTTGGCCTGGAGCCGCTCTTCACTTGTGCTTTTGAACACATTACCCTCACTTTCAGGTATAGGCTGTGGTGCCTGATAAGTTTAGATTCTTGGTATCTTCTGAGTAACTGGTGAAGAATTCTCATCCTCCTCATCCGTTACCTTTTCTGGCATTTGAGCATTGGCAGTGCCCTTCTGCCCACATGCCTGCCCTTACTGCGGGTCAAGGTGATTTTCTGGCATTGAGCCAAGGAATGGACAGTCACAGGCCTCCGGATGATCGATCAGCCCATCATTGATCAGCTTCCGAATCTGCTGATGGGAGTTGGCCTTGATGATTTTATTGGTCTCATTGGGGTCTAACCAGACCCTTTTGCCACAGCAGTGAAAGGAAAGAACTCTGGACTCTCAATTCTGACCCCTTGATCTATATGTCTTCCTTATGCCACAACACATTGTCTTGAATACTGTAGTTCTATAGTAAATTTTTAAATCAGCAACTATGAATTTTCCAACTTTGTTCTTTTTAATACTGTTTTGGCTAGCCGGTGTCTCATAATTCCTGAAGACCTTTCTTTTGGTTTGATAATCCTCACCCGAGGATATTTTTGCCACTGATTTTTAGAGTGAGTGAAAGGGAGGAGGAAGGGAGAGAGTGAGAAAGAGAGAGAGAGATATACCAATTGGTTGCCTCCTGCAATTGCCCCCACAGGGGCCAGGGATTGAACCTGCAACCCAGGTATGTGCTCTTGACCATGAACCAAACCTGGGACCCTTCAGTGTGCGAGCTGATGCTCTAACTACTGAGCAACCGTGGCCAGGGCTCCTGGAATCTAATGAAGTCCTTTTTAACCTCACCTCACCTGGGAAGAATTGCCTTCACTCAGTTGTGATTTAGGGTCATGCATTATGCCAGTGGTACTTCAGGTTGGCAATACATAAGAATCACCTGAGGACCTTTTGAAGTACGGTGGATAATTGGGCTCCATCCCAAACCAGTTAAATCAGCACCCCTGGGCTGTGAGGCCTGAGTATTGGTAGAACTGTCCAGCTGAGCTCAGCTCAATTTGCTGTGAGCAACTTACTAAACGGTGTTTAAGTTTTGGGGTGAGTTGTTACACAGCAATAGATAACAGATATGAAATGTGTGTCCCAGCTTGAGGACCTATTAATCTTTACTAGAGAGTTTTACTTACTGCTTTTACTATATAGCTAAGGTGACCAGATGTCCGCTTTTGATGGGACAGTCCTGATTTTTAACAATTTGTCCCGAGTCCCGCGGCATTTTTAAAAAGTCCCGATTTTTGGATTCCAGACTTTTTTTAAATGCTGCAGGTCGCAGGACAAATTGTTAAAAATCGGGACTGTCCTGCCAAAAGTGGGATGTCTGGTTACCTTAGCTATAGGAATGTATGATTGGTATAGTGCAGTGGTTGGCAAACTCATTAGTTAACAGAGCCAAATATCAACAGTACAATGATTGAAATTTCTTTTGAGAGCTGAAAACCGACTTCTGAGCATGGGCCACGAAGTTTCAATCGCACTGTATGTGGTTGCCCACACGTGGTATTTTGTGGAAGAGCCACACTCAAGGGGCCAAAGAGCCGCTTGTGGCTCGCGAGCCGCAGTTTGCCGACCACTAATATAGTGTCTACTTGCTCACAAAGTAGGGAGATTAGAAACGAATGTAAACTGTGTATGAGTTCTATATTTTGGAACTAAGTGTTCAGAAAAGCTCAGCTTCCCCTTGACAGGGGATCTTATAATCTGGTAGATAGAGCACTTGAATTAATCTGAAAAATAATCATACTTTAAATCTTAAAACACAATACTTATGTGAACAGGGGGTTAAGTTTTTCTTAAGTTTCCTTTTCAAGGCCTGTGTGAAGCGATTGAGGAGGTGACTCAGCTGTGAATTCAGCAAGCAGAACCGATAAGCATGGTCAGATCTACCCACCAGGAATCAAAACATCATCTCATCAACATCATCTCATCGAAAGGACAATAGCTCACGTCTGTGGCTCCTCAGGACAGCACATAGCTGCATTCCATTCCCAGACTCACCCTAGCCCTTTCCCCTTTATAATCCTGCCCCATGCACCTTGCGGTAAGACAGGATTTGAATATTTGTAAATCCGCGGTCTTCTTGGTTGGCTAGACTTCTCAATAAACAACTTATATGATTCAATCCTGCCTTTGTTATTGGGCAGCCCAAGCCCAATTGGGGGTTTCCTGGTAACACCGGAGGAAGTTTCTTTTTCTCTCTAACAATTAGAGCTATACAACTATGTCTTCCTTTTTAGTTTGGCTACTACATAGTAAGCAAAAAGTAAAAATCAAGGCTTAATGATATCAACTATAAAATTTCTTATAGCCTGCATGCTTATGTTTCCCCCTTTTCTGTTATTAATCTTTATTAATAATATCATATGCTTGTCGTATTTTATTCTTATTCGTATTTAGTCATGTTATTTGATGTATCTTGAAGGCAAATCTCTTTAAATCCCAAACCTAATATAGTATGCAGAACTTTCTGTTCTCTACCAACATATGTTTTGATAACTGAAATAAGGCATGATAACTGGCTGGGATGGGAGGGCAGGAAAAACTAGTTGAAAAACTATGTAAACAAGTTGAAAAATTTTATCAACTTGATCAGGGACAAGGATTCAGTGGGGCTCCGCTCCCATTTATCAATCATCTACTGTGCTCGATACCTACCTAGGCCATTGTGCTCAAAACTG